CAGTCTGTTCCATGTTTCCATGCCTCAGGTTCTATTTTATTCATCGGTTTATTTTGTTCATTAGGTTCCCTGTTTGTTTATTTTGGTTTTTAGATTCAATTGTTCATAGATATGTATTCATTGCCATTTTATTCTTCATATTTTTCATCTTTTCTTCTTCTTCCTCTTCTTAAAGAATACCCTTCAACATGGTGATGAATTCATTTAGCTTTCTCTTGTCTGTGAAACTCTTTATTTGATCTTTAATATTAAATGACTAGAGGCCCAGGGCATGAAATTCATGCATGGATAAGGAAGGTCCCTAGCGGCTGCCGGCTGCTGGCCAGGGCCTCCCTTCCCCCGGTCTGTTGACTGGAGGGCGATGGTAGGGTCTGAAGAAAAGCAGCACAGGTGGCCTGACCAGGACCCGGGTGAAGGTCACCCCCTCTCTTCTCAGGGAGATGTCAGCATGGTGGAACAGTACCAGACCTTGTAAGAACCACCTCACAGAGTCCCTGCTATGACTCTCTCCCCCTGCCACTCGCTAGCTCCTGATGTTCTGCTTTGTCATTTTGTGTCACTTAGGGGCTCCACCTGCCTGCAGGAGTCCCCACACAGTGACCACAACCCTGCTCACTCTCCAAGCCAAACTGGTCCTGGTGGACCAGTAAGTCTAGGACGGAGTTCCCGGGGTCAGCTGACTACCACCCTGGTGGAAGAGGTAGCCTCCCCTTTCTCGATGTGGATGAGGGCTTGGGGGGTGGGGGCAGAAGAAGGGAAGGTCACTCCCAGTGACCCAAGCCAGTGGTTCTCCAGAGGAGAGCTTGTTATCTCGTAGGCTAGATTCAAACAGCACAAGGGGCGTGCTTCCCTGAGGCACTAGAGGAGCCATGCTCATCCCTTCCTGCTTCTGGTGGCTCCAGGTCTCCTTGGTTATGCCAACATTGCTCCAGTGTCTGCTTCCGTGGCCACTTCCATGGTTCTTTGCATCTCAGATCCCCTTCTCCTTTCCTTCCTCTCACATGAACACCTGTCATTGGATTTAGAGCCCACCCTAAATCCCAAATGATCTCATCTCAGGGTGAGATCGTAATCTGATTTTCCCCCCTTTTTTAAAAAATCTTTTTTGTTGAGAGTATTACATATGTCCCCCCTTCCCCCCCCCCCATTGCCCTTCATCTGCTTCCTGTCCTGCCCCAGGCCTTTACCACCCTATTGTCTGTGTCACGCATATATGCATATAAGATCTTTGGTTAATCTCTTCCCACCCCCACCCCCCTTTCCCTTCCTTCTGAGATTTGTCAGTTAGTTCCATGTTTCCATGCCTCTGATTCTATTTTATTTATCAGTTTATTTTGTTCATTAGATTCCTTGTTCATTTATTTTGATTTTTAGATTCAATTGTTGATAGATATGTATTTATTGCCATTTTATTGTTCATATTTTTTACCTTTTTTTTTCCTTCTTCCTCTTAAAACAGCAGTTCTCAACCTGTGGGTCGTGACCCCTTTGGGGGTCGAACGACCCTTTCACAGGGGTCGCCTAAGACCATTGGAAAACACATATATAATTACATACTGTTTTTGTGATTAATCACTATGCTTTATGTTCAATTTGTAACAATGAAATTAGGGGTCACCACAACATGAGGAACTGTATTAAAGGGTCGCGGCATTAGGAAGGTTGAGAACCACTGTCTTAAAGAATACTCCTCAACATTTCATATAATACTGGTTTGGTGGTGATGAATTCCTTTAGCTTTTTCTTGTCAGTGAAGCTCTTTATCTGACCTTCAATTCTAAATGATAGCTTTGCTGGATAGAGTAATCTTGGTTGTAGGTCTTTGCTATTCATCACTGAATATTTCTTGCCACTCCTTTCTGGCCTGCATAGTTTCTGTTGAGAAATCAGCTGACAGTCGTATGGGTGCTCCCTTGTAGGTAACTAACTGCTTTTCTCTTGCTGCTTTTAAGATTCTCTCTTTGTCTTTTGCTCTTGGCATATTAATTATGATGTGCCTTGGTGTGGGCCTCTTTGGGTTCTTCTTGTTTGGGATTCTCTGGGCTTCTTGGACTTGTCAGTCTATTTCTTTCACCAGGTGGGGGAAGTTTTCTGTCATTATTTCTTCAAATATGTTTTCAATATGTTGCTCTCTCTCTTCTGTTTCTGACACCCCCCATAATGTTGGTACTTTTGAAGTTGTCCCAGAGGCTCCTTACACTATCTTCATATGAATACATATCTTTTTTGCTCTTCTGATTGGGTATTTTTTGCTTCCTCATATACCAAATTGTTGATTTGATTCTCAGAATTTTCAACTCTATTGTTGAATCCCTGCAAATTATTCTTTATTTCAGTAAGTGTATGCTTAATTTCTGACTGTCTGAAATTCTTTTTCATGTCTTTAAAATTCTCATTAAGATCTTTGAAAGTCTCACTGAGTCTCTTGAGCTCTCATTAAGATTCTTGAGCATCTTTATAGCCATAGTTTTGAACTCTGTATCTAGTAGTTTGTTTGCTTCCATTTCATTTAGTGTTTTGGGGGTTTTTTTTCCTGGAGTTTTCTTCTGTTCTTTCATTTGTTTCTTTTTCTCTGCATTTTGTCTGCTTCCCTGTGTTTGTTTCTATGTATTAGGTAGTGCTGCTATGACTTCTGGAATTGGTAGAGTAGTCTTGTGTAGTAGGTGTCCTGCAGGGCCCAGTGGCTCAGCCTCCCCAGTCACTTGAGCTGGGCATTCTAGGTGCACCCCAATATTGGCTGTGTGCACAGTCTTGTTGTAGTTGAGCCTTGATTATTGTTGGGGTCACTGGGAGGAGTTGACCTTCAGGCCAATTGGCTGTCAGGACCAGCTTGTGACTACAGTAGAAGAGCTGCTGTGCAAGAGACACCCCTATGGAGCAGGACTTGCTTCAGTGGGACTTTGGTGTTCACTGAGTCTGCCCCTTGAAAGTGTCACTTGTGGATGTGTAGAGCTATAATCTGGTATGGTCTGAAGCTGTCCACTGGGTGCATTGGCTCTGGTCCTCCCAGGAGGTGTAAAGTCAGCCACTACCTGGGGCCACCTGGCAGGAGCTACAGAGCAATTTGCAGTTCGCTGTTACTTGTGTTGGGCTTGGAAGTGCCCAAGTGAAGCCAAGCTGTGAAGCAAGGCAGGCTGCTGCTAGTATTGAGTCTTGCTGATGCCAGCTGCTGCTTGTCTGAGAGATTTTAGGAAAGTCTGAAGCCCGAGCCAGGACAGGCCATTCATATGGAAAAATTGCTGCAAACAGCTTGAGTGGGGCTGCAAATTGGATAGACGGGATCTTAGGGAATCACCAGGGTGGAGCGAAAAGTGTGAGCCAGGCTGATGGAAACAGATATGGCTGCCAGTTAGCTCTGCTATGGCAGCGGTCTCAGTATAGGAACAATGACATCTGCCAGCACTTTTGTCTGGGAGAAAGCCGCCCTCTAGTTCTTGCCCCGGTGCCAGACAATCCAGTTCCTTCCTGTATGTTCCTAGATCCCCCTCAAGCTAATGCCCCAGCGCTGGAACTCAGAGGGAGCAGGACAGTTTAAGTTTGTGTACCTGCCCTTTAAGAGAACTGCCTGGGTCTCCTGCAGACTCCGTGTCACCCAGCCACGATCCCTGCTGGTTTTTACAGCCTAAAATTACAGGGGCTTCTCTTCCTAGCTCTTGAACCCTGGGCTGGGGGGCTCGTGTGGGGCTGGGATCCCTTGCTTCTCAAGGAAGGCCTCTGCAGCCCAGATATCCCTTCAAATAAAAAAACACCAATGTGGGTATTGGACCAGCCTGTTCTGCGCCTCGGCCCCTCCTATTAGTCTCAGTGTGCTTTCTTCTTCTCTAGTTGTAGGACTTCCAGTCAGCCAGGTTTCAGGTGGTTCTGAGTGATGGTTGTTTTGTATTTTAGTTGTAATTTTGATGTGGTTGTGGGAAGTAGCAAGTACCGGTGTTTACCTATGCTGCCATCTTGGTTCTCCTTCTCTGTTAATAGACTTTAAAAACATTTGGGAAGGAGAACTTAGTAAACAGGGATATAGATTTTCATACTGATCTGTAGAGTACTGCTATGTGGAAAACTTTGTTTTTTCTACAACAAACTAATACCAGCTTACTGCTTTGTACTACTTTGTACATAGACTAATAGGGGACTTTGGGAGAAAATAATGAAGTATAAAATACAGTTCTGCCTTAAGAAGCTTAGTTTAGTCAGATAGACAAGAGAGTGAAAGATAAGCAATGTAGTGTAATCTGCAAATGATACATGATTTGTATAAACAATATGTGCTCTCGGATTTTGAAGAGCAGTCACTGGCCTGGAATGATAGGGAAAGGCTTCATGGAAAAGGGAAGCCTTCAGATGAGCCTTCGTGGGTGGGTAAAATTGCATTGGAAGAAATGGTTCATCATGAGTAATGTTATAGGAAGATGGAAAGGCTTGTTGGGAGTCTAAATGGGCCTGATGAGTGAAAGATTTAAATTGGGGGTGATGGGAAGATGTTTGAAAAAGTAGTTGGTCAAGCTTTGGAGACTTTTAAATGTCAGGTTAGATTTTGTTTCATTGTCCAATATGTAGATTAAGTCCACTTTTGTTCTTGTTCTCAAAACTCTGATTGATATTTTTACAGTCAAAGCATTGGAATTGTTACAAAGTTTTCTGCTTTTAAAATTTCATTCTTTCTCCCCGCCGCCCCAAGGTAAAAGACTTTTATTGGATTTTAGAGAGAAAATACATCCTAAAGGGGGGGTCTTGTAATTTAATGGGAGATTTTACAAATACCATTTAATAGAGATTTTAAAGAGATAGTATAGATCATTTTTTACTGTATAATTTAATTGATTACAAGAATCAGTAAAAAAAGAATGAGGTGATTTTCTGTAGATATGATAGTGGTAAAACCCTTCTGTAAAGCATATAACAAGTTGAGCTACTTCTGAAAGTTTTTTCCCCCCTAATGTCTTATGATAAAAGTTTCTGAAAAATATTATTTCCAGACTCTTTTTTTCCTTCTTCCACGTTAGTATCTTCAGATTATAAAAAACAGATACCCAATGAAACTTCTGCTGGAAATGAAAGAGACTCATCAGCTATACCACAAAATTGGTCATTCCAAAATCATTACAGAATGTATTCACCCATAATATACCAAGCCCTCTGTGAGCATGTGCAGACTCAAATGTCACTGATGAATAACTTGGCTTCAAAGAAGAACCCTAATGGAATTCCTGCTGTACCTTGCCACATTGTGTCTGGTTCTGGTTAGTATGAATGATGTTTTTTAAAAGCATAAATATAAACTATAATTAAGTTGTTTCATTATTGTATACGCAGTATGAGATGTGAATGATTTTTCTCTCTTCTTACCTTATAGAATGTCAGGCCACTCCACGTTCTAGTTATGGCTTATCTACTTCCACTCCAGTCCAGTTACCTCAGCCACCACCCTGCCCTCCAATGGTTCATTCTGTAGGTACAGTTTATATACTACCTAAGTAATTTGCTTTTAGAAATTGTTATCTTTAGAGAGAATTTTGAATTGATTGTATGTATCTCAATGCCCTAGGAAAGCGGTTCTCAACCTATGGGTCACAACCCCTTTGGGGGTCGCACGACCCTTTCACAGGGGTCGCCTAAGACCATTGGAAAACACATATTTAATTACATATTGTTTTTATGATTAATCACTATGCTTTAACTATGTTCAATTTGTAATAATGAAAATACATCCTGCATATCAGATATTTACATTACGATTCATAACAGTAGCAAAATTAATTTTGGTAGTAACGAAAATAATTTTATGGTTGGGGGTCACCACAACATGAGGAACTGTATTAAAGGGTCGCGGCATTAGGAAGGTTGAGAACCACTGCCCTAGGATGTATAAAGACCATTGATTTTTTATTACCCAAGTTGTTCTACTTATTTCTTAAGAACAATGGTGAGGGGAAAGTGGGAGAAAGATCAATAGAAAAAAGAAATCACTCATACCCACCACCCAAACACAATTGCTGTTAACACAGTGATAATCATTTAATTCTCTGTGTAGATTTTGGTTTTTGGTTTTTATTTGTTAAATTTGCTTTTTTTAAAAAAATATTGTTATAATTAAATGTGTACACTTTTATGTTCTGCTTTTTTCACTTAACATTTTATTGTGAACATGTTTATATACATTCTGTAAATTTTTAATAAGTTGATTAAACTCTGTTTAGTGGAAATACTATAGTCTATGTAATTACTCCCCTATGGTAGACATTAATCAACAGTTTTTTACTACCATAACATTTCTGTAAGTTTGTGCAAAAATCTTTGCATATGTCTGAGATTATTTTCTTAAAATTAAATTTCCCCAAGCAGAATTTTGTTTTTAGTCTCCAAGTAGACTAATTTTTTATGCCTTACCATTAAACCATGTGCGATATTTATAAACAGTCTATTTTAGTCATGGCTTTATTATGTTCTCATATTGCAGAGTAAGCGAATTTACTTTTATAAAACTATAATGTCAGTGCTCATGTTTTTGAAACTTGTTTTTTTCTTTCTTTAGGAAGTTCAGACTGATGGTGACAACCAGTTTGCATCACAACATAACACAATTCCTGTGAACTGTACTGATATTCTAAGGAATTCCTTCAGTTCTAGTCTTGGAGTTCAGTGTAGCCTGCCTCAAACTGACAAACCAACTATTCCAGCTTGTGAGCAGCTGGATCTTGCTAATGAAATTCTGCCACAACAAGAAGTTCCTAAGGAACCAGACCTATTAAAGTGTTTCCAAACATATATGAATTTGTTGCATTCTCAACCAGACGGTCAGACAAACCGAAGCCTCACTCTATTCCTGCCAACTTCCTTGGCCACTAATGAAGAAAATTGTGCCAAAGAGCAAATAGGAGAGGTCACAACTGAGGGAAAGGATTCAAATATGCATGTGCGAGATTCAAGAATAAAGGGTGTCCAGAAAGCAAAAAATGGGAATGAGAGTGCTGAAAAAATTAAAACTATAAAATATTTGTTGGGAGAGCTGAAGGCCCTAGTAGCAGAACAAGGTAGATGAGTATCTATATATATAAAAGCCTAACACATAAATTGTCCCCTCAGGAGTTAGACGGGGAGTTTGATCACTCACTATGATGTGTACTGACCACCAGGGAGTGGCGCAGAACGAAGGAAGGCCCCAGGCGTAGCTGGCAGCCAGGGAAGGGAGGTCCCAACCAGCACCCGGAAGGCCCCGATTGGCCCTGATCGCTGGCCAGGCCTAGGGACCCTCTACCTGTGCACGAATTTTGTGCACCAGGCGTCTAGTTTCTTTACTAATAACCAACTATTCTAATGCTTAACAAATCTCACTGTGAGAAGTAACCCAAACCTTTTTATGCCCTTTTCATTTAACTTTTGAGATTTTTTTATTAGATTAAGGAAAATGTCTTAGGTGGAGCTATGAGATATTTGAGCCAGGTTGTATTCATTGGTTTGCATCATGTGTGTGTATTCTAAATAATGGCTTTTGCTTAGAGTGAGTTACAAAGCTGTCATCTTAGAAAGCATAGTAATTGATTATAGAAGCACTTATTGAATGCCTAATATTTGCAGACTGAGAAAATATTTCAAAGCTTTAAAAAATATCTATAGGAATATAGCACTATTATTCCAGAGGTTTGATACATTAATTTTCAGACCTGCAACTTATCACTTAACCAAAACATAATAACAATAATAATAGTTACAGTATTCACTCTCACTTATTAAACATTTACCATATGCCTGACACTGTGCTAAGTGTTTTACGTGCATTATCATAATAACAATAATGTACAAGTATTCACTATTACTTATTAAACATTCAGCATATGCCTGACACTGTGCTAAGTGTTTTACGTGCATTATCTCATTTAATCCTCTCAACAACCCTATAAGGTACTATTATCTCCCTTTAACCATGAAGGAATTTAGGCTGCAGGAGTTAAGTAATTTGACTAAAGTTATTTTGCTAGAAAGTGGTAGGGCTCAGGTCACTGCCTCCAATACTTATGAGCGAAACCACCGTACAAATGATTGGTAGAGGACTGCTTAGTTGTTTACTATGTGTATAAACTTTGCATCAGGGTGTTTAAATATCTGTGAGTTATTTTTGTAACAATATATTTCCTATCTCTTTTAGGTATCAGCTAGTTAAAAGTATAATTATTAAATGTTTTCAGTCAATAAAATATTTGAATAGAAATGAAGGGAGAAAAATAAAAGACAAAAAATCTAAATTCCACTTTCTACCTGTGTCTGCCACCTCCAAAACCATCCAGTTTTCCCAATTAATAAAAAGAAGGGATACTGCTATCAAATGAGGTGTGTGGCTAGTTGTGTTAAATCTCCTTTATAAATTTAATAATAAAACCTCATATTAGTTTACCTTCTCTCAATATTTTGCCAAATTGAATTGCCTAAAGTGAATTATTTGCAATAGAATAAAAGACTTTGTTGTAAATACGAATACTGTATTAATTATAGGAAACCTGTTAGCAATTATTGGATTCTAGTAGTCCTTTGGCAGTGTGAACTAAGAGACAAGTATAAACTATCTTCCTATTAGATACTTCAACTGAGGAATATCACTAATATAACAATGCTGTGATTTAAGATTAATCTTTAGTGTCTGAATTTAATTTCTTTAGAATTTTTATGAATAGGCAAGCAGCAGGAAAGAGGAAAATAGGGTCTGTGTATTCAATTTAGAAATAATCTGAAAATTTTACTTGTTTAGTAATACACATGAATAATCTTATTCAAAACCAACTTATAATATGTTTTTACTTATTTCTTCTGCCTTTTGTAGAGGATTCAGAAATTCAGAGACTGCTTACAGAATTGGAGGCATGTATATCCCTACTTCCAGCAACAAGTGGAAACAAAAATACTCAAGTTGAAATAGCACTGGCCATGCAACCACTAAGAAGTGAAAATGCTCAGTTACGCAGGTGAGAATTGCACTGAATATTTTTGTCTCTATTGCAGAGATGTTCCATAGTCAGAACAAAGGTGCCAAATGAAATACATGGGGCCCCATCAGAACAGAAGATTGATTGTCTTACTGTGTTTCTGCTTCCCCCCGCCCCCCACCCCCTGCTTTTTAAACATTGCTTAGCATTCTTTAACATTTCCATTACTTCTGCCTATTGGTACATATTTACCCCCAACTCTTGCACCTCTGTTATCACTTGGTTGATGGTGTATAGAGAGCAAAATGAAATATTTCAGCATATTTTTTAGGCTAGTCTAAGCTATGCAGCAGTAGCAAAGTCCAAAATCGCAGTGGCATAACAGCAGAAGGTTATTTCTCCATCACAGCAAGACCAGCATGGGTCATCAGAGGCTCTCTTTCATCTTATGGCTCAGGATTTAGTTTCCCTTCATTATAAGGCCATTGTCTCAGTGTTTTCCAGGAAAAAGAGAATATGGATATGGCACACTGACTCTTAACGGCTCCGCTCAGAAGTGACAATCTCACTTATTATATTTTGTAGGCTGAAAAGAGGCATATGGCCCTGCCTTATCTAAACATCTGGGGCATAAATTTTCCCCATATTTCTTATTCAGGAAAGGAGAGCCTGATATGGGTGAGCACCAGTAGCCCCATCACACTCAGACATAGAAAAAAAAACTCATTCCAATTGCTTTTTAAGATGGAAACTCATTTCCATCTTATATATTGGAATTATAGTTTTAATTTATTTAGAAAAGATGTAAACCAGGGATCTAATCTAGAAATCACTTAACATATTATCAATAATATCTTAAATTTGAGTGTTTCGGTGATGACCACCAAGGTCACCACCTCAGTGTCTGTTTATCAGTATAGTTTGCAGAGAACTGGAGCACATCTTTTGCAGCACTGTGGTGTGAGTGTGCCTTCAGAGGGCGTTGCAGTTGCATGTGCTATAGATGCTGCATCAATAGGTAGGACCTGGAAGGACCTGCACAGAAACTGGAAAGCCATAGAGTAGGATTCTTAGTTGTAAAGTAGCTTAAGTCCCTGGATCTGGAGCCTGCAAAGACACGACACTCAGTGAGATTTACTTGTTTAAGATTATTTCTCTAATAATCATTAGTCTCTAGATCAGGGGTCCTCAAACTTTTTAAACAGGGGGCCAGTTCACTGTCCCTCAGACCGTTGGAGGGCCGGACTATAGTTTAAAAAAAAACTATGAACAAATTCCTATGCACACTGCACATATCTCATTTTGAAGTAAAATAACAAAACGGGAACAAATACAATATTTGTATTTGCATGTGGCCCGCGGGCTGTAGTTTGAGGACCCTTGCTCTAGATACTATGATATATGATAGGGTTGTGGGGTTTAAATTCTTATAATATTGTCTTCTAAATGATCTCTATAATAATAGCATTAGTTTTTCAAAATCAAAACCAAGTGTAAATAATAACAATGTTAAAAGCCAGTACTACATCTAACATTTATTTTTAAATTCTCACCCGAGGGTATATATTTTTATTGATTTTAGAAAGAGAGAGAGAGAGAGAGAGAGAGAGAGAGAGAGAAACATTGATGTGAGAGAGAAACATCGATGGTTGCCTCCAGTACATGCCCCCACCAGGGATCCAGCCGCAAGTTGGATATGTGCCCTGACTGGGACAACGCTCCAACCAAGCCACACAACCAAGCCAGGGCTTAACATCTCTTTAAATTCTTACAGCAGCTCTATAAGGTAGGTACTATGTTATTCTCATTTACAGATGAAACCAAGGCACAGAGGTTATGTAACTTGCCCAAGGTCACATACCTAAGAAGTAACAGAAACAAGACTCAAACCTGGGCAGTTTGATTTTTTAGAGCATAATCATCTTAATTTCTATACCTCTACATTGCCTCTGCTAGGAAATAGAGATTAACTTATTTATACTTCAATATTTAGGTGTATTTTGTGAAACAAAATAATATGCTATAAGCCATCTATACTAATAAAAGCCTATGTAGTCATCATGCCTTCATGCTGTGATGCCCTCACACCATAACAATTCATCACCAGGAAGCTGTGTGCACAGTGGGCACGCGCATGCAGGTGGGAGGGGACTTGACACTGTGTGTGCAGGCGGAGGTGGGTCCTGGTGGCTCTCTGGGGAGCCGCGGAGGCAGATCCCGGTGGCTCCATGCAGCGTGGAGGCAGTACCCCCAACTCCAGCCTACTTCTTTGGGGCAATCCATCGAGGAGCCCTGGATGGGTGGGCAGGGCCTACCTCTTTGGGGAGGTTGATTGCAAGACTCCTGCACTGTGAGAGGGCACAGGCCAGGCTGGGGAACCCCCCTTCGAGTGCACAAATTTCATGTATCAGGCCTCTAGTTTAAAATAAACAAGCATGTTTTTAAAGATACCACTATCAAATAATTGGTTAAGTAAATGAGCAGAACTTATTCTCAGATACTATTTTAACTTAGTGATCATGGGAAATATCAATAGTTATTAGCTATTTCTATTCCTTAGAAGATTTTAGAGCTGTTTTAGGAGCTTATTTATAAACCCCTTAAGAAAATGATACCACATTATTGTTCATTTGCTTTTAATTCTTTTTAAATGTATTATTTTGATATTTTGAACTAATTCTTCAGACTTGGCACCAGAGTTTTTGGCTCTGTGTCCTTAGAGGACAAAGATTATATAGTATATTGCCATTGTTTACTTGACTTTCTAAAAAATGAAGTTATTGAAGAAATGAAGAATTTGTCAGATATATGCTCTTTTTTTAGCAGATTGAGGTTTCCAGCACAAGTGTAGGAATTTTTGTGCCTCTTTGGAAATCTTAATTTAGAAAGAATCATCCATAATTTCCATTTACAATGAAAGTTGGAATGCATTGGCTCATTCAAAAATGTTTTTCAGCACTTTCTAACAAAGTTTCCTTTTTGTTTGTGCATTTAGCAATTACATGTTTCTTTTTAGCCAGAAAGTGATCTTTCAGTGTTTTCTTGGAGTTTATTGCCATCTTGTGGCTTTTATAAAAATAGCTAGATGCATTGTTTCTATGGCAACTGGGCAACTGGGTCATTGGTAGCTGGACAGTTTTTATGTGGATTCCTGACACAGCTCAACATTTAGCCCTCCTGGTCCTTACCCACAAAGTGTCTGCAGTGCCCCATTCATGTGACCTCCAAAAGCCTTGGCACGTTTCTAAATTTCCTGTATATAGGTTGGAGGGGTACTACTTCATTTAGGAACCAGCAGCTAGAGAGTGCCTTAATATTTATAGTGTAAGTTAGAATTCATGACCACTTCCTGATTTTAGATTCAAATACAAGACCATTATGTACCCACGCAGAACAAGAAGTGAAATGCAGTAGCATTCAAGGTTTTGATTTTATCATTTGACAGATGGTAACATAATTCTTCCAGGTGGAAGCTACTAAAGAAATACTAGATTATTTGTTTTTTATTTCACTTTATTTTTGAGTTCAAAGATGTACTGGGAAAGAGCCAGTGAGTTAAGATTTAGACATGCTGAATGTGTCATTTAGACCATCTGGACATATGTATGGTACAAGTAGAACATAGGAATATGATTCAGGCTAGAAATGTAGACTTGGGAGTTTTTCACTGAACTCGTGTTTATTGAGCTTTTACTATATATTTTGCATTGCTTTTGACACCAGAATCATGGTGATTAAAAGCAAGTGATTTATTATCAGTGTAGAAGTAATAAGTTCACCAGGAAGGTTTAAAGCATGAACACAGCCAAGAGTGAATTGCTGGAGAATAACAGCTTTTTAACACAGCAAGAGGAACCTGCAAAAGAAACCTGAGAAGGAACTAATAGCAAAGTAGCAGAAAAACTAGGAGAAAATGATGTTACAAAAGCTATGGGAAGAAAAAATTTATAGGAGAGATCACTGCATAAAAAGGGACAAAGGTGGATCAAGAATAAACATCACAAGATGAATTGCCCAAAGAAAACTTGAAACAGTATTCCACAATCTCCAGGAAATTAATAGAACCTTTTTTAGAGGCAGAAAAAGAGAGATTGAGAGAAAAGGAATTCTTAAAGAAGACCAGACAGTAAAAGGAGAAGAAAAGTGAATTTGATGAGATCAAGAAAATAAAAGAGAGAAGCAAAAACATATTACAAAAATGAATGCCCCATTAGAAACAACAGCAAATTAAGCAAACATGAAATCAGGGATGTTATTGTCTATAATAATAAAAGGGTAATATGCTAATTAGACCAGACATCATTCCAGACATCCTTCCTGATCAAGCTGGGGGCGGAGGGAAGCCAGCCCAGGTCCTGGGTGTCTGCCAGCGGCCAGAAAAGGGAAGCCCAGGTCCTGGGTGCCAGAGGGAAGCCGGTGCCGGCAGCCAGGGGAAGGAAGGCCTACTCTGTCACGAATGTTCGTGCATCAGGCCTCTAGTATTCCTTAAGAACCTAAGCAATATAAAGGCTGAGTTTGTTGTTTGGGTTTTGTTTTTCTTCTCCCCCAGATAATCTTTCTGCTTCAGTTCCTACTAAATTAATAGTGTCACCTCACAGTCTTAGCTTGCTTCTCTTCCCAAACTCTTTTTAAAAATAATTTATTAATTTATTTTTATTGTGGTAAAATATATGATATAATATTTATCTTTTTAACCATTTTAACCATTTGTAATTTCAGTTGTATTAAATATACTCATAATGCTGTCTTTCCATAACACTATTTCATCACCAGTATAAACTCTGTACCTAATAAGCAGTAATTCCCTTTCTCCCCCAGTAACTTCTTTCTGTTCCGATAAATTTTAGAAGACTGAATTTTTCTCTTTTGTTGCTGTTTTTCCATTGCTGAGAATTGTGCCTAACACCCACTCTAATAAATACTTGTTAAATGACTGAACACATGGTAGATAGGCTTGAAGAAACAATACAAAACAAAATAAAAAGAAATAATCCAAAAATTATTATAAATAAGAGGATACATTTGGAAGATAAGCAAAA